CGGAAAACTATGCGCCTATGTACGCAACTATGAGAAGCTATACGGCCGGTCGGGGCGTATTTCAGTTTTTGGACCTACGCCCCAGATGATTTGCTTGACCGCGCCGCTTCTATTTTTAGACCGGCATCTAGATTACGCACGCGACCCGATGAGATATATATCCACGTACATATCCACCTAGACGTCGATGTTTCCACACTGCTTCGTTTAGCTATTCCCTTTGTTTCGCCTTCGCGTTCGTCCTTCCCAAATTGTCCATTTTTGTTCGCGATCCGTGCGCCAATTAGAGAGAAATTACTGCAAATAGTGCAAATTACTGCAAATTGCTGCGACGTAGAAAAGAGAAACACCTTCGCCTCTGTCCAGTTAGAAATCATCCCCTTCTTCTATGTACACTTATGGTGTTGCCATAAATCTCCCCCGCTCGATTCCACGATAATTTCGAAACAGAATCGAAAACCGGCCATTTCGGTGCACTCTACGCGCGATATACAGTAATGTCTCCCTTACTGACGCTCAGGTTGTACAGTAATGTCTCTATAATTGACGCCCAGATTGCGCGCAAAAGTGGACAATTTGGGAAGAGGAGATACGATTATTCGTTTATTTTTATAGTTATGAATTGTCCACAATTATAAAAACTCTTCCGAAATTGTCCATTTTAGTGGACAATCCGAGCGCACTATCCGACATTACTGTACAGTAATGTCTCCCTTACTGACGCTCAGTAATTTGGGAGGAGGAGTCTTGCGGTTTATTTTTATAGTTACAAATCGTCCACAATTATAAAAATGAACCGCGAGACTGCAATAATCGTATCTCCTCTTCCCAAATTGTCCAATTTAGCGGACAATCCGAGCGCGTCAGTATGGGAGACATTTCTGTAGCGCGAGAGAGAGAGACGACAACGGTCCAGTCCTTGCCGCGGCGAATACGGCGACTGAAATACGGAACACCGATGATATTCCGCAAGGTGTTTTTGACTCTGGTCCAATTATTTCTCGCGGGAAGGATACGCGGCTCCGGGTGCAGTCTGTCGCAAGGGGACAGTGCTTAATGGGTCATTATCGTCGCGACGGCGTCGCGTCGCCGTCGCCGTCGCCGTCGGCATAAGGGAGTCAGTCCATTCCGATGGGGGTTCGCGAAAATCGGTCAAAGTCAGCCGGAGAGACTCGTCGGCTATGCCGCCCGCCTTCGCACGCAGGCTCTTCGATGTCCACCTGTTTTCGACTAAAAACGGACCGGGGCCCGGGCAGCCTAAATATAGCGACCGCGAATCCGGGACTCTTACGTCACGGCGCGCATCGTTCGACCAGCACCGTGCTTTCTTATTTTTTCCCCTTTGCTCCGCGCCGCGCCTCGCGCCGCGACGAAATTTGCTCGGAGTACATTGGCGCGACGAAATCCGCTCGGAGTACATTGGCGCGCTCGTTAATTTGTCACAGATGATAATAGACGGGTATTTTCAAGGGTGAATCACTTTACGGTAACGAGCGCGACCGGATATCCGGTTTCGAAATTGCATTCCTGGATCAATCGAGCCCTCGTTCAATCGAGAGAACTCTTCTACGATGATACGCAAATTCGAATCCCAATCGAACGGATCAGATCGCGGATCATTTTGAGATCTATCGAATAATGGATAGAAGAGATCGTTTTTCACTGTCTTTGACAATTCTTTGCCGATTTCTCGAGAATCTTGCACCGGGAATTTTTCTCTAGAATTCTCGGCTGTTTTTTGACGGATCTGTCTGTCCTTGGGATAGGATTATTGATGATTCCCGTCGTTAATTATTTATTATTTTATTGATTAATGAGCACCTCGGGGATGAAATCGACGGCCAAAAATCTCGCTGAATAAATTGAGTCATTGGAATTACTGATCAGCCAACGAAACGGCCAGAAAATTAACTTAAAATTAACTTAGTCCACTGTTAACTTCCGTTGTTAATAAATAAAATAATAAATAGAGCGCCCCGGGGGATGAAATCGATGGCCGAAGAACTCGGCCGAATAAAACGAGTTATTGAAATCTCAGTTCAGCCAGCGGAACGGCGAGAAACTTAACTTAATTTTAAGTTAATTCTAACTTAGCCCACCTTTAACCTCCATTGTTAATAAATAATAGAATCAATAGAGCGCCCCGGGGGATGAAATCGACGGCCGAATAAAACGAGTCATTAGAATCTCAGTTGAGCTAGCGGAACGGCGAGAAACTTAACTTAATTCTAAGTTAATTCTAACTTAGTCCACCATTAACTTCAATTGTTAATAAATAAAATAATAAATAGAGCGCCACGGGGGATGAAATCGACGGCCGAAGAACTCGGCCGAACAAAACGAGTCATTGGAATCAAAATTCGACCAACGAATCGGCGAGAAAATTAACTTAGAATTAACTTAAACCACCGTTAATTTCCATTGTTAATAAATAATAGAATAAATAGAGCACTCCGGGGGATGAAATCGACGGCCGAAGAACTCGGCCGAACAGAACGAGTCATTGGAATCAGAAGTTCGGCCAACGAAAACGGCCAGAAAATGAATCTCTAACAGCCGGATATATAAATGTTTAAGCGGCGACGATTAATTTATATCGCCTATTCCAAAATTAACACGGATGACCTTCGATCGCACTTGCCGGGAATGAAATAGGAATACGCGGGGCGAAAAGCGTTCGGATGATCCAGGCCGAGTATGAAGTGCGCGCGGCCCGCTAAAATTAGAGCGGCGCGTTCGCGTTGCGGCGCGTTGCGTCAACAAAAAGAAAAGACGATGCTTGTGTTTCTGTCGCAGTCCTCGATTGGCCGATCCGTAGGTATGCCGTGGCCAATCGTGATGCCCGTGATACAGCCACGGTATTCGAAAACAGAAAACAATAGCGATTTCTCTCGAGCTACGTGCTCCAAATTCAGCCCTCCCGCCATTCAATCGGAGGGATGCGCTCCCATTGATCATCCGCTTCCTGCTCCCCCCCCCCCCCACGCTCGTTCGCATAATTTAACGCGGAACCCATTCGGGAATTACGACCTGGGTGCCCACCTTGCGCGGATTAATGTTGCGAATTTCTTATTTTGAAATCGTTCGAATCGTTCGAATTCGGGGGAAGACGACGTTCCGCGCGAAAAGATCGTACAGATTTCTTCATTTATTTCTGATAGGAAGTACATTAAATTGTTGTAATAAATATAATTATAATATAGTATAATATAATAACATAATATGATATAATGATATAACATAATATAATATAATATGATATAATATAATACAATATAATATGATACAATATAATATGATATAATATAATATAATATAATATAATATAATATAATATAATATTATATTATATTATATGATATAACATGATATAATAGAATAGAATGGAATAAAATAGAATATAATATAATAATACAACACAATATAATAAATAAATACATAATATATTTTTTAAGTTTTCGTTATAGGCTCAGATAAAAAGTTAAAAGACGAGAGATTTTTATTTTCTTGTCACTCCAAATCATACCAAAGTTAAAAAAGAAAAGCATTTCAGTCATCGTCGCCTCTATCATTTAAAAAAAAAGATTCCTTAGAAGTTCATTCAGCCGAATTTCGAACAATTTATCGCGTTTAAAAAAGATTATGCGAACCGCTTTCGCGGGCCACCGTGAAATCATCGCGAAGAAAAAGATCGCACGTGTGAACGAACGATGAAGAAATCGACCGTGAAAGAAAAAGCGGCCGCTATAATTAGAGAGACCGATACGATGCCAACGAAACGGCTTTGGAATAATCGCCGATAATTTTCCGTATTTTTAGACCCGATGACAGGCTGCTAGCCTGTTACAAAACGCTAAAATCGTCGAATTTCGCGGGAATCGCGTCGAACAGCTGAACCGATATATTATTTCCTATATATTCCCTAATTTTCCGCTTTCCAGTTTCCCAGTAGTAAGTTTCCCATAATTAACTAAAATTGAACGCAGAGAGATCGAAGAAAAAAATGACTTTCGCGCGCAACGACGATTAATTTCGTCGCGAAAACAGTCGAGACGAGCCGTCGTAATTCGAGCATTTATTCCGTCGGTGCGCGTTTGTGTTTAAAACGGAACCCGTTCGTAGCTGGCAAAGAGAGACACGTGGAATTTCACGGGGTAACGGATCGCGGAAACGTAAGCTCCGGCTTACACGGAAGCAAGGTTAAAGAAACACCTTACGCAATAGCCTCTGTACTTGAGTATTTCGAGATACAGAGCCGCGCTTCAGAGCGATTTCGTGCTGCTATGATCCGTTCGAACGCGTTCGATCTTTTCGCGATCGCGCGCGCCAGATTTCGAGGATTTTTACTTGTCTCTCTACTTGTCGCTTTTCATGTACGCTCGTACTTTCCTGCACGACGATCGACGAGCAAAGAACCGCGCGATTCGTGGAACGAATTTTTTACTTCGTAAAAAGGTCCGCGTTTTAGTTATTAATAACGAAGCGTTGTCTTAGTGGAAGAGCGATTCCTCTGTCGAAACCGATTACGATAAGTTCTGTTTAATTTGCGCTCAGATTGCGCACCGAAAAATGGACAATTTGGGGAGAGAAGACGCGATTATTCGAGCTTTGCGTCTTCGTTTTCACAGCTGTCGACGATTATAAAAATTGTAGGTCATATGACAATTAATGTAATTGTTAATATTGTGTATATTAATGTTATGAATATTATTAATATTATATATATTAATACTATGAATATTATTAATATTATATATATTAATACTATGAATATTATTAATATTATATATATCAATATTACGAATATTACAATCATTAACATAATTAATATAAAATTATATATGATCTCCTCTTCCCAAATAGTCCACTTTTCTGCGCAATCCGACCGCGAATTAGGGAGAAATTAGTGGTCAAATCCTAACAAAATGGATCAGCAGGAAAATCCTGATTTTCTCTGACGAGTGTAACATTTAACCTTAACAATTGTCCACTGATTTCAGCGAACGAGTGTGGTAAATAGTTCAGTAGAGCGGCAAAATGGACGCGCGCTTCCGAAGCAACCTCGACATGATCGGGCGCAACGAGCCCATCACAAGGAAAGCCAAATTCTGGCAAAGTTATGTCCGAGCCTTGAAAGGTAACCATATTTTCGTTTTCCATATTTTACGGTGACTAAAAGAGAGTTTACTCTGTTTTTTTTCTTTTTTTTTAAACAGGCACCGACGATATCAGAGCTCCCGAACACACGCACAGACCCCGTGGCATTTTCCGCTCGGAATACCCTGAGCTGTCCACCTCGTGGCCATTCGGCAAATCTATCTTTGAAAACCCCATTCACGCGGCCGATCGAATCAACGTCCCTGGATACAGGTGCGTAGATTGAACTACGATTCGAACAATTAGTACTTGTAATAATAGATAATAAATTGTATAGACGTAGAACTAGCGCAGGGAAATTCACGGCAACCCGAAAATTGGCATTCTAGGGAGATATTACTGTGCATTAAGTCATAAGGAAGATAGAGAATAAATTTGCTTTCTCACGTACCTTGTAATAATAAATAATAAATTATATAGACGTAGAACTAACATAGGGAAATTCACAACAACCCGAAAATTCGGCATTTCCGGGAGAAATTACTGTACATTAATTCATTAAATACAGAATAAATTTCTCGCTTTCACTTTCTCGCGTGCCTTCTAACAATAAATAATAAATTACATAGCACTAGCGCAGGGAAATTCACAGCAACCAGAAATTCGGCATTCTAGGGAGAAATTACTGTACATTAATTCCACTAAATATAGATTAAATTGCATTGGCGTAGCACTAGCGCAGAGAAATTCACGGCAACCCAAAATTCGGCATTTCCAGGAGAAATTATTGTTTCACAATATTATTACATGGACGAAAGTTCGTATTAAAATCTTGTGAATTAAACCAGTTAATTAAGAATTATCGCACGGTTTCCAGGTACCTGCCCGTCCACCGCGAGATCTACGGTTACTCACCGAGGCAGATCTACCCGCACCAATACAAACCTGTAGAACGCTTCACCCCCGGTACGTACTAAAGAGCAAACTCTGAGCAAAGCAAAATCGCAAAAAAAAAGTCCCAGAACAGAATAAAAAGATCACGTGGGAACGGCGTCTAACATAGAAGAAATAAAGAACGAAAGAAAGAACGAAAGAACGAAAGAAATAAAGTGCGAAAAAAGAAAATCAATCGATATATAAAATCCGGCACAAAAGGCAACAGAATTACGAAATGCGCGAAAAAAACAAACAAACAAACGAAACAAAACAAAACAAAACAAAATATACAGAAAACGAACGAAATATAAAAGTTTTTCATGCTTGGCGTGTGTAAATTACGTAACAATCTCGACAGTTGAACGAGAGAGAGAGAGAGAGAGAGAGAGAGAGAGGGAGAGAGATAGAGATAGAGATAGATTTCTTTTACCTATAACGAAATGACTATAATAAATAACGAATGACGCGAGAAGAAGCGATATACCAATGGAGAGAAAAAGTTGAACGAGAGACACGCATGGGAAAAATAAAACTGCGAGTGACCGCATTGTGTACCGTTTAATCCGTATGATCCGTTGTGTAATATATAACAACCGCTCGTTCACCGGGTGTTTCCTTTTTAGTCGATTTAAGTACGCGTTGTCGAATGTAACCGGGGCGCTTTTGGCTTCTGGGCGCCGCGAGGGAGCGGACGACGCGCCGCGAAAATGCCGCGACGAATCGCCGCGAAAATGTCGCGACGAATCGTCGCGAAAATGTTGCGACGAATCGCCGCGAAGGAGCGGACGCGGCGCGCCGCGAAAACGATCGCGTCGAATCGCCGAAACGAATCAAAAGCAATATTATATATAATACAAGCAAAAAGACAATGCGCCGTGGCCGGCCGCGTTTATATACCGGGTGTCCCGCTTCGCCGAGCTCGTTCGCACGGCTTCCTTGACGCTTCGTATTCCTGTAAAATATCCTCCGGAATATTTTACGGTCAAATCCTTGAGTGGAGGTCTCGAGTAAACCGCGCCGCGATTTTTCTGAACGATGATTAAATTAAGGGTAGGGGAGGGTGGGAGGGGGGAGAGAGAAAATTATCGCGCGACCAAAGTCAAGCGGGACAGCCTAAGTCGTGCCCTAAGTCTTCCCTATAAGGCCTTTCTCAGAAGCCAGAACCGCCCTCAGGAGGATTCGTCTCGCACCCTCGCCCTCCCCCACCCCCGTCCTGCACCTTTGCCTGCACTCGATCGTAACTAAAAAAAGAAAAAAAAAGAGAAAAGAAAAGAAAAATGAATGAAAGAGAAAGAGAATGAGAACGAAACCGGAGAGAAGAAAGAGATCGAAGAATGTTGGAAACTAATGGGATTTTATAAAAACTGTGTCATCCGTGTCGTATCAACGCACCCCGCCCCCTGACCACCGCCAACACCACCAACCAACCCCCCCGCCCCCCGATGTGTGGAATGCGTATGGCATTGTTGGACGTACATGTTTTAATCGGGCCGTTGTTTTTAGTTAACACAAGTTCATAATTATCTACCTTCATACAACCACACCATACACCGCATCTGTGTACCACTAATTATTACAACGATTTGTATTCTAAGTTATTATACATATACATACTTATATGTCGCTATATGAGAACATGCACGTATAAAAATATATATAATTATGTTTAAATATGACTCTAAGACTTGTCTGCTTCACGACTGGCACCGCGTAAACCGCGAACGGGAACCCTGCGCGACGAGATCGGAAAAAGAAAAATCATAAAACGATAACGATAACGAGAATAAGCAAAAACAAGCACGGAAACGAATCAGGATAACAAAGAGTATTATGTCGATCTTCGACGTAAACGAGAATCGGAGCAACAGCTGACATCCACTGATGATCGAGGCTCCTCGCTATTAATTTAAATTAATCAAACTCCGCGCCGCTGTCAGAGATGGGCGATTTCTAGTTTCCGATGGCGAAATAATTGACGCGATAGCTTTCGTTCGATGGCGATTAGGTTTCGTCGTCGATCAGAGGTCACGCGGGGTCAACGATTAGTTCTTCCTCGCGATAAGTATCGAGTTTCGAGATCACACATTCAAAGGGTCGCATTTTGTTCATCCCAGGCTGCGAGGGGCGCGATCGTTGACCTTTTGCACCCTCGAGCAAAAATCTTGACCCTGAGGCATCGCCAAAATTGCATCAGAAGGAATTTTTCAAATATCTGAGATTAGATTCGATGAATTGTTGATAGTCTAACGCGTTGCACGAGTCGCGAGGCTCGGTTTCGTACACATGAAATGCACTTTGTTGCATAGAGTTCATTTCGATGCATAGAATGCACTTTGTTGCATAAAGTGCACTTTGTCGCATACAGTGTACTTTGTCGCACAGAATGCACTCTGTCGCATAGAATTCATTTAGACGCATAGAATGCACTTTGTCGCATAGAATGCACTTTGTCGCACAGAATGCAGTTTATCGCACAAAATGCACTTTGTCGCATAGAATGCACTTTATCTCATAAAATGCACTTCGTCGCATAAACTAGAATTATCATAAATCAGAAGAAAATAATGTTAGATTTACAATTAAAACGGCTTCGAGTGCAAAAGATTAAAACCACGCGTCGCAGTCGAAGCGTTCCATGCAAAAGGTTCGCTCGTTGCCGCGCGAAGCTCTTCGTCACGCTTAAAGATTTCTCTCGTTCGACGAAACAACGAATGCAAAATTCTTCGCTTTCAAATCGTCGCAACATTACTTTCAATAATTTAACCACGATCGAAAGAATCTCACGCCTCGATGGAGACGTTTCCTCGAGAACGCAGCGACGCCCTAATCGGCGTCGTCGAACCTTTTGCATCGAGCTCGCGGCTAGAACGATCTAAAAAGGATCTAGAAAGGATCTAGAGAGGATCTAGAAAGGATCTAGAACGATCTAGAAAGGATCTAGAACGATCTAGAAAGGATCTAGAAAGGATCTAGAAAGGATCTAGAAGACAGAGTCCTGCCCATCTCTGTTCCCGGGAGGCCCGGGGGCCACGCTGGCGATCGTCCGAGCTATTATAGGCTGTGCAATGACAATTAACAATGACGATTAACGCGATTAACAAAGACCAAGAGTGGAACATCGGTGGATGCGCGATTGCCGACCGGAAGCGTCGACCAGCGGAAACAACGACACCACGATCAGACGACGGACGAATAACGTGCGCGCAGGCATCATCAGGATTCTTTATCGTCACCGCATCATCATCATCATCATCATCGTCATCGATCATTCCATTTCGTGAACTTCTCTCTCTTCATCGTACGTGTCGTCCCCGTCCTCTCGTACGTCGTTTAATTAATGGATTAATGGGAGACGGCGCCCTGCCCCGCCGCCGCCCCCCCTCCCCCGGACCGCATGCAGCTCTGATTCTAATTTCTTTCCAGGCACTAGACCGAACAAGTGGCTTTACCTCGATCGCATGGTCGATTTGAGCGACGTTAGGCGACGACAGATTATACGCCACTGGCAGACGAACGAGCGAAGCACGATCACTACGCGAGTGCGACGCGGTCATTGCATTAGAAGGAAGGACTACTAACCCACCTGTCTTTTTACTGACCATGGCAGAAATACCTCCTAATAACCGATATATATACAGTATATAATATTGGGTATATAGTATATACATAGTTTATACTATGGCATATATAGTATTTATATGTATAGTATATCTTGTATAGTATATATTGTATATACAGTATATTTAGTATAGTATATACAGTGTATCTAGTATACTATATATAGTATATCTAGTATAGTATCTATAGTATATACAGTGTATCTAGTATACTATATATAGTATATCTAGTATAGTATCTATAGTATATACAGTGTATCTAGTATACTATATATAGTATATCTAGTATAGTATCTATAGTATATACAGTGTATCTAGTATACTATATATAGTATATCTAGTATAGTATCTATAGTATATACAGTGTATCTAGTATACTATATATAGTATATCTAGTATAGTATCTATAGTATATACAGTGTATCTAGTATACTATATATAGTATATCTAGTATAGTATCTATAGTATATACAGTGTATCTAGTATACTATATATAGTATATCTAGTATAGTATCTATAGTATATACAGTGTATCTAGTATACTATATATAGTATATCTAGTATAGTATCTATAGTATATACAGTGTATCTAGTATACTATATATAGTATATCTAGTATAGTATCTATAGTATATACAGTGTATCTAGTATACTATATATAGTATATCTAGTATAGTATCTATAGTATATACAGTGTATCTAGTATACTATATATAGTATATCTAATATAATATATACAGTATATCTAGTATAGTATATTAGTATAGTATATATAGTATATCTAATATAATATATACAGTATATCTAGTATATCTAATATAGTATATACAGTATATCTAGTACAGTATATTAGTATAGTATATATAGTATATCTCTAATATAATATATACAGTATATCTAGTATATCTAATATAGTATATACAGTATATCTAGTACAGTATATTAGTATAGTATATATAGTATATCTCTAATATAATATATACAGTATATCTAGTATATCTAATATAGTATATACAGTATATCTAGTACAGTATATTAGTATAGTATATATAGTATATCTCTAATATAATATATACAGTATATCTAGTATATCTAATATAGTATATACAGTATATCTAGTACAGTATATTAGTATAGTATATATAGTATATCTCTAATATAATATATACAGTATATCTAGTATATCTAATATAGTATATACAGTATATCTAGTACAGTATATTAGTATAGTATATATAGTATATCTCTAATATAATATATACAGTATATCTAGTATATCTAATATAGTATATACAGTATATCTAGTACAGTATATTAGTATAGTATATATAGTATATCTCTAATATAATATATACAGTATATCTAGTATATCTAATATAGTATATACAGTATATCTAGTACAGTATATTAGTA